TGATTAAGATCGGTCATTATCACATCTCAGACAAATCATCCAAGTGAGACATGTCCACTTGTAAGCCAGCATCTCACATTATTCACCTCTCAATCAACGCTAACCCATGTCAACAGCCTGCCATTGGATTAAAACTTTTTCTATAGCCGATGTATAAATACGTAGTTCAGACATTAGATTGATAGGTTGATTCTTTTTGAATATACACGCATTCTCAAAGACTTTCTCGTTACATTTGATATACATACATCACATTTTTTTCTTTGAATTTTGCAAACAAACACCTATCAACAAACATGTCACCCAATCCTATCCAAAAACAAACAACTAAGAAGTCTGAAGGCGAGTCTACCACCAGAGGTAGCAAAGCCAATGACGCTCCTAAGCGCGGTGAAGAAGTCATTAAGGGTCTTGATGATGGAAACGCTGACGCCATGGAAAACGACTCTGATCCTAAAGAGAAGGAGAAGAGCAAGGACGATGATGAGGATAGCTTACAACAGTATGCTGAATCAGAGTCGGACGAAGACATGGTCATTGAAGAAGATCGTGCAAAAGAGTATGAGCCTCTTGGTTCAGAAATTTCTTCGGGCAAGATTGGCCCAAACACGCCTAACTATGTTATGCGTTCTTATTGTCAGCAAGAAGCTGATAAGTGCGACCGACAGATGAAGGCCGCTATTGCTGCTGGTGATGATAAGTCTTTCGACGAGTCGTCTAAGCAGAAAGAAAGATGGTTGCTGAAGAAGCAGCATTTTCTTGAAGATGATGGAGTTCGTCCTTCGTCATCCAAGGGCAAGTCTCAAGGCAAGAAGGCTTTGAAAGATATCGTTCACTTGCCTACGTTCAAGAAGGATGTGCCACCCTTGCAGATTCAAGGTGAAACCAAAAAGAGAGACCGCCATGACAAGCGTCATCCATTGTACGCCTCTGTCGATGACTTTTTCGAGGACTTCGAGACGTACTGTGATGTTTGCAATAAAAAGATCAAGAATAGAGAGTTCAGAAAATACTGTGAGAATCTGATGTCGGTTCTTTATTGTAAGAAGAGGTTCTTTTATATCATTCATATGTACATGGGTATCCATAGTTGCATTATTATATTGTACATGGGTGGTTATTCATGCATTATGCACACACCCCTATCCATCATCATCATCTTTACATCACCGACACCACA